CCCAACATAATGAAAAAGTGGTTGTCAACATATTTTGCTTTGGACAAAGTTCTGGATGAAGCACTTGCTGAGCGACTGACTTATAAATGGATTACTATGTGTATGGGGAAAATTATAGATGTGATAAAAATCAAGGCTTCAAGTCTCTTAAAAAATCACAGAAATCAAAAGTAAATCACTTCCTCATGTGGTTTGGTGCAGCATTCAGTTACCTTGCTGCCCATACCTTGGATACATGTGCCTCATCACTTTTCTTTTGCGTTCAACCCTGAAGCACCCCTCACGAGAGTGCTGACGTCATCTGGCAACAAAGAGTACAAGGTAGTGATGATGAGGCCAACTTCCACAGACGGCTAGACTCAGCCATAGGATTGGAGTGAAAAACAGAAGTGAACAAACATGAGAGGAATACTGAAGTAAATGCTTGTGTGCGTCACTGTTGCTCAAGGGTGCGGAGAGCGAATGACATCTACCTTACTGTCAAAACTGTTTATAGGGAAACATGCAGATGATGACATTGGAGCTTGGTAAAGGGTGTGGTTCATGCCCTGGTATTCTTGAATCACACTGTCCTTTACAAACACTGAACTCTTGGATTTCATTTTTAACTTGTACTTTTAGCAGTTCGGTATCACTGGGGAACAAAGCGTTTAAAGAGGTTACACTGAACTATCATTAATCTGCAGAGGGCTGTGTTTAAGAGCTAAGATCCTCTGCTAAAACAGGTATTTAACTAGTGGTTATGAAATGAGGCACTGGGCTGAGGGAAACAGTGTTAAATGATTGGGACTAACATATTGTCTACTCCATTAGTGGCTACACATTGTTGCTTCTAAAAGCATCTTTGAAGCCCCAGCTCTGACACCAGGCCTCCTCTGGTAAAAATAAAGTATACTATATTATAAAGTAGCTAGAGTTGGTATAGTATAATAACAATGTATGAAATGACAACAATGTAAAAGTGGACGCTTGTAGTGATGAACCTACAGAGAATTATCACCCAAATCTGCAGCTCCTCTCAGCTTTACAGAGTTTTCTAATGAGTTTCAGTTCATTGTTTAGCTGTCCAGCCAACAAATTCACTCTCACCGCTCTCATAGTGTTGTTTTCAGCCACAGCAGGAAGCTGTTTTCAGTGATAAAGCTCTAAACCCCCACTGAACACTACCTGCTCAGCAGCAAACAGACACAGTTAGAGCTGGTGAACATAGTGGAGCACTTAGCAGCTTAAGAGACAGATATTTCCCTCAGGCGTTGGTAGAGACCAAAAACAGAGCTAAAAGTGAGAGTGAATATAATATATAATGTTTGTTACTTTTGTTGCACTTTTAAAATATGAAAAAGTATCATTGTATGAACCAATAAATCACTCAAGGCCCACTTACTACATAGCGTTCAAGGCTAAAATGACACTCTGTATTTCAGTAAAGGTAGTGAAGTGCATTCCAGATATGTTGACTGATAGTTAATCCTAGTTCAATTGTATGTGGGTGTGTCTTCTTTGGTACACAACCAAACTCTGAACATGCCTGGGCTTGTAGTTGTGTGCTTGTCATTTCTGAAAAGGCCAAACTGTTGTGTAACTCAAAGATGATCTATACAACGTTATCAGTCTGACTTCTATTTTCTATATGATTCACACAACCTATTCCTACGTTAAAAAAAGAATTGATACAAACAGACTCTGCTGTACCCGGCCATTTCAGCAACCTCATGTGTGGCGGGTCTGAAAGCCCTGCTGCCAGCAGTGCTTTAAAGTATTACCATGTCAGAGCAGATGTGGCGCGCGTTGCCACCTGCTGTCTCACCAGGTGGACTTGGCAGTGCCAGGCCCGCTCTGTGTCCTGGATTAGACTTGGCTGGCATACATGACAAAGAGATTGGGGCTAAGAGATGGTTGCACGTGCGAAGCAGCTGACACTGACGCTGCACTGTTTGAAGTGAACCAGTTTGGTCAGAAGACAAAGGGACAATGGTATTTTATTAAACACTGTCGGGGAACATGGGACACATTCATGTGTGTACTGTACACAGCGAGGAGTGACTCTTCAGCTTGTGCATTTCTCTTTTGCTCTATGGGAAGCAGTGTGGCCAGTTTCATATAAGATCTTGTATCATTGCATCATCAGAACTACTAGCCGAATGAATTTGGTATTCTTTTTTTTTTTATTCTTTTGGTATTGTGGAGGGGTTCCCCGCTCTAGCTCCTTATTGCAATGTCTGTCTTTTACACTGTTATGCTCGGTGCTGCCACAGTCTCATACTGCTAGCCTACAACCACAGAGTAGTTTTATTGGAGCAGCGGCTGAGCGAGGAGACAATGCAACTCATAAAACATACAGTACAGCACATTGTGGCCAATCATTCAAATTGCATTGATCATTCATGAAATTACTGCCATTGCAAAGTCAAAATTCAATCATAGATTGTATAATACATTCAAACGCAATTTTAGATGTTGAATGCAGCTACAGGAGACATTTTTATATAAACGTACACCTGTCTTATGAAATCACAATGTGGGGGTGCAGCCCAGCAGAATGATTCATATTCACAGCATATATTGAACCTGTATATTCATATAGAATTGTGTTGTTAAGACAGATGCCATTTATGTGCCACAGAAACTTAAAGAGTGCAATTTATCTGACATTGCCATTAATGTGGCTGCTGCAATAACTGTATGGCTGACTGGTTGTGATTAACATTGTCACTCCTTTATATCATTTCAACTCAAAGTAAATATGTTTGCCAATGTTATACACCATCACAATCTATTCACATCACTCCTTTCATGACAAAGCAGTGTGTTCTTCAGCATACTGAAAACACATTTGCAGCTCATTCATGATTAGATACTTAATGACTGTAATTACTGCACTACAGAAGCCATCCTATCTATATTTTGCATCTGTGTTTCCTGTACACTGAATATTAACAGAGGGGAAACCATAGACTTAATTTTACTTCTTCACAGACTTTGGCACTTGCCGTAATTAAATATTAATTTCATGTCAGTGTCAATAAATATAGTCATTTATTTACTTTCATCATTGCATTTCACTAGTTTAACATTTTTGGGAAATACACTTTCTTGCTGAAAGTTACAGAACAACTTTGGTACCAATGTCATGTCTGTATTAGGGATGGTAACATTCACGATTCACATAGGTGCACCAGTATAAAGCTCAAGATGCAATTGCACTCCTAATCTGTATAGTAAATATGACGCTACAACCAGGACACCATTAGCTTAGCTTAGCGTAAGGCTGGAAACAGGGAAATATGGAAACATTCAATATTTAAAATATGAAAATATTTGTCTTTGACCTTTTTTCTAAAGCAGCCATTTTGACATGAAATAGAGTAAAGACAGGTCTTACCAGTAATACTGATTAAGGTTCTGTTCCATTCAGGTCAAACAGTCAGTGCTGCTATTGTGCATGGTGGCTCACTGGAAAAGCTCTGCAACAATAATTTGTCTCTCTCAATATTCAGTGTTAAACCAACTCGAGAATGCAGAGTGATCACTGAACTCTTCCTGCTGCATGTTGGTGTACATGTCAACCAGCAGCACTGAACACAACAGCTGTTCACGCTGCAGCCTCATATTAACCTGTCAAATGAGGGATGTATTAATACTATATACCTCTTATCATACAGTACACTGGCTGTGAAAGAGGTATTACATTAAGATCACACTGCCTGTTTCAAAGTGCATCTACAAAACAGTCAGTGTTACTATTGGGCTTGTAATGCAAGAGTAATGGTATTCTGGCAACAGTCTTGTCAGTGCCTAAAATGGTTTGAGATTGAGGCGGAAACCAGTGTTCAACCTCGAAATAACACTGCATTAAACAAAAATCTGCATGGTGGGGGCGTGTTGCTACAGGTACCAGTGAGACGATGAATAATCTCCAGGACAGCTGGTTTAAGAAGTGATACATCCGTGAATTTGAAGGATTATCAGCTGCCAGAACACTGCTATAACGACTCAATCTGCAGTTTCAATGATAACATGGTAAACAAAGTAATGTACAAGGATTGCGTAGCTGGACATATTGGATTTACCATTGCAGTGTGTTGCCAGTAGGGCTGCCTCCAGCTAAAGATTTTCCTAGTTGACTATTAGTCGTAAATTACGGCCAATAGTCGACTAGTCGTCACACATTTATGATATTAATTTAAATATTTAAACACATCTATATATTTTATCAGCTGCCAGGAAAATACTAATGGCATAATGATTCTGAATCTGTAAGGAGACTGAACATTTAGTTCATTTAGTTCAGTCCTGGCTGTGGCTCAGGAGGTACAGCAGGTTATCCACTAGGTTGGTGGTTAGATCCCCAGCTCCTGCTGCTGCATGGCGAAGACCCCAAATTACTCATAATGCTGTTTGCTGTGTGTGATGGCCTTTCCCATCAGTGTATGAATGTGTGTGAATTGGTGAATGTGGCATACAGTGTAGTGTACAGTGCTTTGAGGGGTAGAAAGTAGACTAGAAAGGCGCTACCATGTTCAACACAGTATAACGTCACATGAGTCTTGCTCAAAACACTTAATTATAAGCTCCAACTTCACAAAAACAAATACTTGCAGACTTATCAATACGATGGATGATGTTGACATTAATAGTAACTTAAAAATGAACTTGCATCTATCCTGTTTTATGCCTCTCCTGTCCTCGTCTGACCGTGCTGTGTCTATCCGATGAATAAAAAGTGGGTCTTAAGACTCTTCTCAGTGACTACCGGTTTACTTGACTATTAGGGGGCAGCCCTAGTGGCCAGACAACTTGCAATTGCATTCCACCCTTGTTGAGCCAGGTTAATCTTTTTTGCTGGACAACCCTGTGTTTTTTGGATACAACACAATAGTATATACTTACAGGCTAAAAGCCACCCCGAAAGTGCCAAGCATTTTGGATCATAGTTTGTTGATCTTTTCACACAGACCACTTCCTCTAGCCCTGTTAAGGAGGCATAGAGGAAGATATCAGACGAGCTTTAGGAAGAAGGGTTCGATAGAATTAGGTGCTAAACTGGTTCAGATCAAGCGTATGCACTGAATATGCTTTTCGAAAACTGAGCTGAATAGGATTTAGCATGCATTTCATGCTATAACACATACAAACTGAAAGACCAGACTTTGACTCATCAATTTTGGTTGTGCCCTAAATTAAAGAAGTTCCTGAAGAAAATATTCCAATTGCTCAGTCTAATAACTGGAGAAAGAAGTCACCCTTCTCTGTGCTCTTGCCTTAATGGTTTGCTCTGAGTGGGCCCTTGAGCTACCATATGAGACCCAGCAGGCCCTCGTGTTTGGTATGCTTACTGCCAGAAGAGCTATTCTGAGCGTGGATATGAACCTCCCCGCCTTGCTTTAGGAAGTGGCTCAATGATACAGTTTCCTGTTTATATTTAGAGGAGATAAGCTTCTCTTCAGCTAGCGCTCAAACTTAAGTTTGTACAGATTTGTGGAGCAGGATCAAGATGACACTGGTGTAAGCCATCTGATGTGTTTGTGTCCCAGTAAGTGTGCTTCGTTATATATTTAAAGATAGACAATCTAACTTTTTATAGAAGAAATAATTCATTCTTCCTGTTACTGAGGAAAGGTTGAATCAATAACACACAACAAACACTCAGAGGCTTTGCTGCTTACTTAGTCTGGTATGACCACTAGCCGAGTGCATCTCAAACTTTTTCCATTTATATACCTATGTCTTACTCCACCATAGGTGTCTGATTTATTAAGACAAACACTTAAATTCCTCATGATTCTTCAAATAGAGAATCCATCATCAAAAACTAATGGCAAACCACTATTTGTCATTATATAAGGCAATAACACTAAGACGCCACTGAAGTAGCTTTGAACTGCATCTCTTTAAGTTACAATACAGTGAGAAACATGAGCTTGCTCTTCACTGAGGATCGTTGTCATTGTCTGTGGCAGGGAGGAAACTGCAGTGATCAGACTTTTCCAGAGGCTTTACTGCACTTGACAGTTTACTGCACATTTAATGTAAAATAGCTTTTAACAAACTTAAACTTGCATTTATCTTTATTAATTGTGCAATACTGATATTTTTCTTTATTAATTTTTTTATCTCACGTACCCCTACAGTACTCCAAAGTACCCCTAGGGGTATGTGTACCCCATTTTGAGAAAACCTTCACTAGTTAATGTTTGCAAACTTATAGATCGAATGATATTTTTGTTTTTTTGTTATTTTATTTAAACTTTATCAACTAGGCAAGACATCAGGAACAAATTCTTTTTTACAGCGGCAGCCTGGCAAAAGGCTAGGGAAAGGGCTAGGGGTTGTGATTGAGGTAGATAATAATCCCTGGCTCACTCTTCCATATTAACTGTTGTTGATACCTCTGTCCAACACTTCAGCATGTCTCTTTGGTGTCTTTCTTAAATGCGGGTTTCCACTGAGAGAACCCTATTGTGGTGAAGACAGAATTAGCTATCCCACACTTTCAGCACCTGGAATGAAATATTGCATCCTCTTTGACACTATATTCAGCCATTCCCCACAGTTATCATGGCTGACACGGGGAGCATTTCTGTCCCTTCTTCAACACAGAGCAGACCACAGAACTCCCAGATTGAAGCAGGAAGGAGGAGCAGGAGGAGTTTTGCGAACATCTCGTATATTGTTCCCTCTCCACGTTGATTTGTGGAAGGCATTGCTGTTGTGCTTTTTTCTACTTAACAAACTCCTTTCTATTGTAGTCGGCTGCATAACTGCAAGGTGCACTGAACTTGCAAGTAAGTGGTGCATTCACTCAGCAGGAAACAGGTGTGAGCTGCACTAATGGAAAATGGCTTCAATTACAGTCTGTAAACGAAGCACATTTTGATGTATAGCACACTAAAATGTGTCCTGCAAGTTTTATTTTATCTTTTTCTTCTTTTTTCTTTTTTCTCTTTACTTTTTACGTGTCATATATTGCTTTAAAAACCCGTGTCTCTGCATAACCTAGTACCTAACCATTTTTAATTGATTAAATTATTGTTTTTATTTATTAATAACGAATATCATAGTGTTCGGTCATTAAGTGGTTTTGGGTGTGATGAGGGATAACAAATTCTCGTGTGTGATTTTTCAACCCTGAGGGAGACCTGTGTGGAGTCTTGGTCTTGTTTTTAATCTTGTAGCCACTATAATAATAATTTTATTTTACTTTTGTACCTTTTGGGGGAAAACTTCCTGATTTCCTATTAGACACAACAACAGGCACATCATTTTGGTTATGGTTATTAAGCCCCCAAAATTATCCATTGTATGCCGTGACCAATCCCACCAATATTTGCCACAGTGATATGCTGCTACTGTTCTTCCACAAGTCACCGACTCAGATAGTTTTCAAAAAATCCATTAGAAGCAGCTCAAGGACAAAATGCTGCCTTGACTAACGTCATGTAGAGCAGCGTAAGTATTTCAGGTCTTCTTAATATAATACTTTACTGCACAACTAATTAGAAATTTAATGAGACTATTTTTATATTTTTTTTTCCAGAAATCCCCACAGAAATGTTCTTCTAATGGCAGCAAGATGGTAAAACAAAACTTTTAGCTGGAGATGCAGTGCAGCAAATTCTTCCCATGACAGGAGATTAAGGTCTTATGAAAAAAAAAGGGACATCATTTAAAAGGAGTGATTGATCACGTGTTTATGATCTGCTTGGTATTGTTTTTGAAAGCAGACTTCCATGAAGATGCATGAGCTTTTCATCACATTAAACAGTTAATCGTGCAAGTTTTTAACTGGTTATGTAATGGTCTCAATTTAATACTGAAGCCTCTATATGACCTACATAAACAAACAAGAACATCAGCGAGTAGATTGGATATTTCTGTATAGGTATTCTTAATGCGTTCCACTGGGTCGGATTCCCCTTGAATTCAATCATACGAGGCGGGGGAAACACTACTGCTTTTGTCCACAGGGGTCGCCAGAATCAACATAAATTGAAAGTTCCATGTAAGGGCTTTAGAATGATAACACAGCCACACTTTAACTCATTACAAATCTGCACATTGCTGCATTGTTTACACTTCACTGTTGTCTCTTTGCAGGGTTTTTGACTTTTAAAGTTCAGACAGTGAAATTATATAACACACAATGAACCTTAAATAAATGTTGGTGGGTCCAGCTTTGTGTTGACAGAGTGCTGACTCATTACTGGTTGGGATATGCAGTTTGTACTTTGCTCTTGTGTTTGCTCATCACTTCTTGTGGGTGTCTAAAACCAACAAGAGAATAAACTCATGCAAATAAGATGAATCAACAGCATCTCACAGCCTCTGTGGTTTAGACTGCTAACACAACAGCCTGGTATACATTATCCACTTTTCAAGCAGCGCATTTTGTGCTCTTCATGATGGCTGACAGCAGATAAAGGAATTACTGAAAGGAGAATGTTTCTTTAAATAAATATTTTATTTGAAAATAAATACATTTTCTTAAAATAGAATCAATAACATTACAAAAGCTTTGGGGAAGTGGGAAAGGAGTAGGAGGGAGGGAGGAGGGGGGGGTTACCCAAATGAATGATGTGTAATTTTGGAACAAGGAGTACAATCTCACACGTTTATCTACCATCTTAAGACAAGTTCCCACAATGCGTTGTACTGTACATTCTCAGCTGCATTGTGGGAAAGTGGTGGCATCCCTCACGCTTGCTTTAACATGCAGTCTACTTGGTCTTAAAGCTTCAGGCCCTGCACCCAAAAAAAACCACTGGTACACTCATACTGTATCTACACACTCGTTTGTAAAAATGTAGGATATAATCTTTTTGTCAACACATTAAAATCAGCCACTGATTTACATTTACATCTGACAATGTTTTTCGAAAGTACCTTAAATGTGTCTAGATCAACTTCACCTCTAGTCTACAGTACAAAGATACGATACACAAGAAGGCTGCGCTTATTGATATAGCAGTAATCAGAGGCCACTGTCTCGCTAAGGCCAGAAGTATTTCCATTTTAACTGTGAGGTTGTGAGTTCGTCTGGCTGCAGTTTGCCAGGCACAACCGAGTGGGAACTCTCCGGCACTTTTCTGCCTTTTACGACAGCGTTTCAATGCTCATTGTTTGACTCGAGATGGCAGATCTCCAGAGAGACAGGGACAGCAGCACAGTTGTATTGGAACAGATTAACACAGCGCAGCAGTGCAGCCCTGACCCCTCTAACAGCTCTACAAATAGCCTTACGAGTGCAGGAAGTTCTCCCTCAACCAGCCCGCAGCGGCAAAAAGCAGCAACCTTGACAAAAACATAATTACCAACTGCGCAAAAAAAAAGAAAAAGAAAGCGCCACAGAACATGTCCGCTTTATAATTATTGAGACACTGGAGAATGTGCAAGCCGACCTCAATTAAGACAAGCGTGTGAGAACATGTAATTTAAATCTAATCAGTAGAAAAGCAGCAGAGTAAGCTAATCTATGGCGAAAAACAACAACTGTGCACGCTTTGTGCTCTTCGCTCGCTCCTCGTGCCCGAATGAAATCAATGCCACAGGTAGCGGCGGCTTTAAATAATGATTAAACTAAGTGCTGCCGGGGAGTGCTGTGTCCACACATTGTGTCCACACATCAGAATCTCTCCTCCCCCCCCCCCCGGCTCCCCGCACAGCCTCCAATCACCTTCAGCGCGCTGGCCGATGGTTAAGGGGAGGAGGACGCCATTCGATGGGTTTTAAATGCCTCACTGCACTGACCACACATACAGACGTACACAAATAACACAGTTGCAAATTCTGCAGTCACGCACTTTTTTTTTAAACGTTTTTTTTTTTAACCAATCCTGTTTTAGAAAAAAGTCCCAGCTCAGATCAACACCTTTCCCCGCTGATGGCTGCTTTTTTAGTTTGGCTTTTCTTAGATCTTACAACAGGCCACAGTAAAGGTGTTTCTCATGCTAACAAGTTTCTTCCTCCCCAACAATTCTTGCAGTTCTACTGAGCAGTAAACCCAAGATTTACTTGCAATGAGCAGCTAAATGTGTGCCTTGGAGCGGAGAGACTTCCGAACCGTTTCCTACAGATAAACGCTTCGTTTAAGCCAACTCTCTAAGCAGTGCACTACTTTGCCAATGATTCAATCGCAGTTAATTAGCAGGGAACAGATGCGATACATTTAATGATTGCAGATTTTATCGTAGTCAGGTAAACAACACTGAAAGAATCGGTGGAGCACAATTCACCCGACCAATCCAAGATAAACCCCATAGCAGGAATGCTGCACAACCTCACTCTCCTGCTCTTCAAGGAAATGTCTAATTTATTTTTGTAGGAACTCAGTTTTGAAGAGCCAGCCTTCAATATGCACACAAATTGTCAGAAGAAGAAAAATCCGCTCTTAATCCCTTCATCCTTGTATAAACAAATTCAGAGGACAACTTTTTATAAATTTGTAAAACGTCTGCTACTGTTTGAAGGTGTCATCAGAGATAAAATACATTTGGAGATGCCACAGAATCTAGCAGACCCACATGGACAGTCTCT